TGAAGTCATCCATGGACTTCTGGACCGGGTCATGCAGCTGCTGGACGTCAAACCAGGCCGTAACCAAGGATACCACATCCAGGCGGCAGAGGGTGAGTCATAAATGTTAAAAGTCGATATGGTGTCCTTCCTGTGATCGCTTTGTGCACCTGTTTTATGAGCTCTCTGAGTCATATTCAAAGATTTATTTAAGTGGTTAATATTTAATAGCATTTATGTGCGTGAAGCAGGTCAGCAAAATCGGAATAGGAGGTGTTATGGTGGGACTTTTTTTTATTACTGGATTATTTAGATTTTTTATTACATTTCTGTTCTTGTTTTCCTCATTTTATTTCCACCTGATGGACGGAAGAAGCTATTTAAAGTCTAATGAAATAAAAATTGACCCTAAATTTGATTTCTTTATTCATGTTTCTGGTCTTATTGTGAATGATTCATCAGTGCATTTTCAGTGTTGTTATTATTAACTAAAACGTAAAAATCATTTTATTTCATTTAAAAAAAGGTAAACTGAAATAAAATATAATATAAAAGAAAGAAATAATCGAATATATAATAAAATAATTTAAATAAGTTATATGTATATTATATTATATTTACTCAAATTAATATAAAATTAATAAAAAAAATTAAACTTAAAACGTAAGTAGAAATGATCATAGCTAAAATAATTTAAGGTGAGGTACTAAAATTTACTCAAAACTAAATGAAAGCTAAATATTAAAATAAAACAAACTAAAAAAATAAAAGACAAGCACAAAACAAAATGACTAAAACTTATATATAAAAGTTAATTCAAAATATTTTAAAATACTATAATAGTATATAATAAATGCTAAAATAACACTGTGCATGTTATAAAGAATTAGATATTTAATGTTTTTTTTTCATTATATTTCTTACAGACTCCACCTTCTTCCCAGGCCGCTGTGCTGAGATCTTTACATGTGGCAAAAGCATCGGACACCTCGGGGTCCTTCACCCTGATGTCATCAGTTGTTTTGAGCTCACCATGCCCTGCTCCGCCATCGATATCGACATCGAACCCTTCCTGTGATGTCATAATGCAAATAACCTTAGCCACACCCCTCCGCTTTGGGCTCCTCCCAGCCACTCATTACTGTCACCTCTATCTTTAGGAAAACGAGTAATAGCCACAACAGCGTGTGTTACTTTATGTTCAGGATATAAATCAATGTTTTAATAAAACTCAGCTTGTCCACTGCTAGTATGTTATTCATATATTAAACATCATGGCTGTATGTTTATGTCCAGCACATTTTACAACATAGAAACAAATAAATATGGATGAATACAACAACGTCTAGATTTTTTGTTTTTTATTAGTGGATTTGATGTATATCAAGCAATTTCATCTAATGTGACATACTGTACTTTATCTAAAGCTAACTTAATATTCTATCTGTAATTATTTTTTTTAAATCAAGGCGAACTTCGATGTTTACCTGCATGTCAGTATGTGGCACTGAACTGGTCAGAGGTTTGTTAAACAACTTTAGCTGCACTGATGCTAAGTGTGTATGTCTGTGTGTGCTATATAGGAGTAATCGCAGGTATATTTGTAGTGGCTTGTGTATGCGAGTATATTTCAGCTGTAAGTCGTTAAGCAGGACTCCTGATCACTGATTAACAAGCCCAAATCTGTGTGTTTGGTTTGAGATGATAGCGAGGAAGTGTCTGGTTTAACAGGTTATCAGACAGGTCAGGGCGAGAGTTGGGCTCCACCTGGGGCCTGTACCATGAAGCCGGATTAGCTGGCTAGCCAGG